AATAGTACAGGATGCCTGCAGTAGGGAAACATAGGGAACAATAGGGAAGATTTCTCCGGGTTAGCAATAGTACAGGATGCCTGCAGTAGGGAAACATAGGGAACAATAGGGAAGATTTCTCCGGGTTAGCGATAGTACAGGATGTCTGCAGTAGGGAAATATAGGGAACAATAGGGAAGATTTCTCCGGGTTAGCGATAGTACAGGATGTCTGCAGCAGGAAAACATAGGGAACAATAGGGAAGATTTCTCCGGGTTAGCGATAGTACAGGATGCCTGCAGTAGAGAAACATAGGGAACAATAGGGAAGATTTCTCCAGGTTAGCGATAGTACAGGATGTCTGCAGTAGGGAAACATAGGGAACAATAGGGAAGATTTCTCCGGGTTAGCGATAGTACAGGATGCCTGCAGGTAGGGAAACATAGGGAACAATAGGGAAGATTTCTCCGGGTTAGCGACAGTACAGGATGCCTGCCCTGGTTTAGGATATCAGAAACTATCCCTGGGTTTAGTGATAGTACAGGATGCCTGCAGTAGGGAAACATAGGGAACAATAGGGAAGATTTCTCCGGGTTAGCGACAGTACAGGATGCCTGCCCGGGTTTAGGATATCAGAAATTATCCCCGGGTTTAGTGATAGTACAGGATGCCTGCAATAGGGAAACATAGGGAACAATACGTTATTTCCCTGGGTTAGTGATAGTACAGGATGCCTGCCCTGGTTTAGGATATCAGAAACTATCCCTGTGTTAGGGATAGTACAGGATGGCTGCAGGCAACACGGATACTTCCCTGGATTATAGTACAGGATACCTGCAATGCGGAAACATTCCCCTGGGTTAGTGATAGTACAGAATGCCTGCAGGGAACGCAGAAACATTCCCGGAGTTAGTGATAGTATAGCCGGGATTGGGAGAAGAGCATAGAGACGGGATAGGCGAACGCTCACCTTTTTCCTCCTCGTATCCCTTTATGAGCAGCTCAAACTGGTTCTCCTCGGGAACCACCAGCGCCAGACTAGAAAGTGGCAACGAGAGAAAGATAATCGTAAACTTCGAGAATTGATAATGCGGCATCACACAAATCCAAGAAATGCGGCAATCACGAAGTACACAAACCGGCCAACAGACACAGATATAGATACGGACGCACATACCAGGGGCGTAAATCCGTACTGAGGAGTGGGGGGGATGATCACGCGAAGGGGGGTCTGGGGAGGGTCTGGGGGCCCTCCCCAGAATTTTTTGGAAATTTAGATCCCCTCAGATGGCTTTTCTGCGCGAGCAGGGGGGGTCCGGACCCCCGGACCCCTCCCCTGTAACGCCCGCAGTAATTGAAATGATTTAGGTCTGCCCATGTCCCCAAAATTATCATAATTAGCTGAACTTTCAGGGGGCTTCACGGCAGGAAACGGAGTTTTTTTTTTAATCTCGAGGGGGGATATCTTGTACAGGCCATCCCCCCTCCTTCAAGAGCGGGGGGACTGCATCCCCATTCCCCCCCGGGATTTACGCCCATGGCACATACAGATGCAGATAAGATATGTAAGACATCTGCACGTGTTGTGCGTTTCGACACACGTACGAACACGCGTACCTGAAGTCAGCGATTCCTCTAATGGTTTTGTGTAGCAGTAGGTGTGGGTGCGACGCTGCGGATGCTTCTGCAAAAAGCCAACAGTGGAATTATAACAATGTGCGCGCAACTGTCTACGACAACTTTCTTTTCTTTTTTCTTTTTTTCCCCTTTATTTTCAGAATGTTACATATACATACTGCTGCAGCGCTAGACAACTGATCGATACATGGATCTCTGCCACCCCTCACCCGGTAACGGTTGTAGACGTGAAGTGACGAGGGCGTTCTTCCCTGCCCCTAACCCATTTCTTTTTTAAGTCCGTCTAAACGAAAATCTTGCCCTAATCATAGGGACCCTTGTGCCTCTACTGTACCCCGTACAATTTTAGTCCAAAGTATTTCAACTCTTATTTGGATATTTATTTAATACTTAACATTCTGTGTCCGCGTCGCAGCACGGCCATCGTGCGAAGATAGGCTCCGCGCGCAAATTATTGTGTCGTGTACCTACACAGCTTTACCAGCGTCGTTAAATAAAGTTTTTACTTACTTACTTACTAACCTATCCCCTGCACCTCACCGTCCCTTTCTCTTCATCACTTAGTCTTCTCTGTCCCCTTCCCTTTACCTAATCAGTTGACACACCCAATTGTGTCAATCGTCATATTTCCCATGCCCCTCACCTGTCCCCTCAGTAGAGTCTCGTAGTCTCCCCCACCTAGTTGGTTAACGAAACCCACGCCAAGGTATCAAACACCATACCTCCAACATGCCTCCCACCATGCCTCTCACATGGCTAACGCTCCACTAGGATTGTTCCCAACTTTGATTATACATTAAATGATAGAGTGATTTGATGAATCCCTAACCGCTAATCCGGGTAACCCTAACCTAAAGTGACATTAAACCAAACCAATATAGTGGCCATGACATAGTGGTATATATAGTATATATGCATGCGTTATTATTGGACCATTGAATGACATATAAAGTTGGGAACACTCCTAATGGAGTATCACCCCTCACAGGCCCCCTGCCCCTCATCGTCAAGTCTTCCCTCTCCCTTACCTGTCCCCTCGCACTCACCTGGTCGGTTGACACTACGATAGTGTCGATGACCTTTGTCGACGTGCCCTTGTCGATCATGTCTTTCGCAGCACCACCTTGTGCTCGTTTTCAATCTCACCTCAGAAAGTCGAGGCTGGGTGGGTCCGTGAGGTATCCAACCTACACAGTAAACACTGACAGTAGACACAGGCTGGAGGTGGCGTCCGTGAGGTATCCAGTATACACAGTAAGCCTGACAGTAGGGAGAGCACAGGTCTGGTGGGGTCGCGTGAACGGTACCATACTACACAGTAAACACTGACAGTAAAGACACAGGCTGGGTGTGGGTCCGTGAGGTATCCAACCTACACAGTAAACACTGACAGTAAGACACAGGCTGGGTGGGTCCGTGAGGTAATGTAGAAGCAATACTGGCTTGGCTATGTAGCTGTTAGCGATGCGCGACACTGTCTTGTGGGATACTGCCGCTCATAGGTATATGAGGGTATAGGGTTACCAGAACTCGTACCCTGGTAAGCTATCTGATATGGTTAGGGTTAGGCGTTCAGGGTTAAGGAGTAGGCGTAGGTGACTCCTCCTTCATTAGACTCACGTTAGTGCGACGCTAGGCGGTACGGCTCGCATCATTAATCTAGTACCCATAGTACGTTCCGGTATACCGGACCGTACCCAGGTACGTTCCGGCATTCTACGCCTGGGGGACATAGACCTCTCAGCGATACTGCCATACACACCTGTCCCTTCATGTTCGGGTGAAACAGTACGAATCCATTCGGGTTGATGGCAAATCCGTAGCCGTTAGGCCCGAGCTGTAAAACACACAGGGAGAATCGCGGTAAGCAAGAAAACTCGTCCGTTCACTTCTTGTACATAAATTGTAATTTCCCCGGGTTAGCGGAAGCCTGCCAAGAAATGTGCAGAAACTTCACCGAGTTCCCAAGGATATCGCCTAACAAAAATAATCCAATTACTGAAGGTAAAGATTAAGCGGCAGCAGCAATAGTAGTAGCAACAGTAATGATGATAATGATGATAATAATAATAACAATAACAATAATAATAATAATAATAATAATAATAATAATAATAATAATAATAATATCAACTAGTTAGTTTTTAGTCTTTAATTTTAGAAAGTTATATAAATAAACATATATTATCTACACTATTCGATTTAACTTGGATAGATGTTATAACAATTCCAGGTGTCGCCGTGTCCACCCGTCTGCCTCACCTTGCGATGAGGGAGGCAGCCAATCATCTCGTTCAGTGCTCACGTCGAGTCCCATCACCCGAGGAATCGTCTGAATTATCCTTAGAACGGCAGACGACACACAGGGGTGAGCGGGAATTCTGGGTTTTATGAAATTTTTGTTTCGGGCCCAGCGGTAAGATGCAGTGACCATAATACACAGGTTTGATCGTACAAAGGATTAATCTGAAGATTAAGAGGACCCAACGAGGAAGTTGCGATCCCAATTATCGTCTGCATTCTCAATCTTGTCGGTCTATCGGCTTATTATACTACTATCATCTATCTAGTATAGCTATTCATATATCTTATATCTATCATTAGTATCATATATATATATCATCTATCTATATAGTCTATTCATTCAATCAAATATCTTATCCAGTTTTTATCTATATATCGCTATCATTTGATCTACTACATATTATCTACTATCTATATATCTTATCAGATATCATCTTATTTATATATCTATCATCTATATCTATCTAACATTATCATCTATATCATCTATCAATATCCTATCTAACACTCTATCTATATATCCATCATCGTATATCATCTATCATCTACGCGATAACAGTCGATCTTATACGAATATTCTATCAGCTCACATCCTCCCAACATCCTATCTATATAGTCCTATCATTATATTAATCTATCATCTATGTCTATAACATCTATCTAGTATATCTATCATCTATATCTATTCTTATATCGTATAGTCCTATCTATGCATCTACTTCGAACATCTATCTACTATTATCTATCATCTATTATCTCTATCTGTATATCGGGGATTAGTCTATCTTTATTATCTATGCTGAACGAGTCTATCTATTATATTCTATCATCTAATCGATCTTATCATCTATACTATCTGTATTTCTATTATTTCTTATCTTATCATTCAATATTATTCCTATCTATCATACTACTCATAACATCTATACTAATATAAATCTATCATCCATAATATCTATACTTAATCATCAGTACTATATCTATCATCTGCTCATAACATCTATCTAAACCCCATATCTATCATATATAATATATCAATCGTTATATCGGTAATCTTATGATCTCGGGATTAAATATAGATATACTACTAATCATCTGATCATTATAAATCTATCTTCAAATCTATTATCTATCTATCATCCATCGTACAATCTACAGCAACTATCTATAAATCTGATATATCTCTTATCGCATCTTAAAGTAAGCTTATTCATTACTGTCATCATCATATCTATCATCTATCATTAATCGATAATCTAAATCATATCTATCAATCATATCCAACATACATATCTATATAATCTATCATTCGTATAATCATATTCTTTGATCAATCTATATAATCGGATCAATCTGATTAGTCATAATCTATCTCAATAACATCCGGCGAAATCATCTCAGACACACTCATGAAACGAATCCCTAATCCGGTGCGATAGGTCAGGGCCCGAATACTCACGAGGCGGGTGAACGACACATTTTTTACAACTGGCCCAGGCAATCACGCTCCTATCAATGGGACCCAGTTCGCTAAGAATCGGGGTCCGACACACCCAGGATATTTAAAACATACATCGGGGGGCAGGCATAAACAAACTCCGATGGCGACTCACGGCCCAATCCCGAAAACAGAAAATCGAGTTATCTGGCACCGATCATTTTTAATCTTAAAGTCCGGAATTTGATTCTAACTATAATCGCCCGGAATGGAATCGGATATTTGTCACCGGGAAATGCTCATCGGGGCAGACTGGGGCAATGGTGTAAGGGAATAAAATAAAAGGAAATAGCGTGGCACTTTTCATATCAGCCGTTAATGGGGGAAAAAGTTCAATGGGGCATAGGGATTAAAATAAAAATGTGGGGCGACAAAAATACTGGCCAGTCATTAAATTTCGCTGTTCGAGACTTAAATCAAACGCCAATACCCGAATCAATCAGAGAGAGTGCTGACCATTTTGGTTTTTCTTAATTATTGTACTACACATTAAAAACTTTAATTAAATTAAACATTAGGTCAGCGCAAATGGCATAGGTCTTCAATTAAATGAGACACATGCACAGACACGCACAGCAGCCCGGACATGCTGCGGCAAGACGGATGGAAAAANTATCATCTATATATCGATCATCTGTCTATCATATATCTATCTTATCATCTATATATCTATCATCTGTCTATCATATATCTATCTTATCATCCGCGATCTCTCGTCACCTCTGTACGATCGGTGCCGGGTCAGGGCGATACTCACCGATGCGTACGACACGTTGTACACTGGCAGCGTCACCGTCGTTATCATGCCCATGTTCTGAAAGATGTCCGACACACGCAGTTTTAACCATCGAGCAACAAACTCGCGCGCGCGCCGATCCGAAAACAGAAATGTTTATGCGCCGTCATTTTTTTAAAATCGAATTTGTTCGTAATTTATCGTCGAATGAATCGTCATTGGTCGAAATGCTCTCGGCAGGACTGCAATGTGAAGAAGTAAAAATAGAAGAAATACGCGTGCACTTTTATATCGCCGTATGAAAAAGTATCAATGTGGCATAGTTGAATAGAAATGTGCACAAAAATGTGCAGTTAAATTTCGCCTTTCCAAGACGTGAAATGGTAGCGATCAAACGGAAATTGCGTGACAGTTTGTTTTGCTAATTACTTACTCACTTAATTAATTAATTAAACATGGTCGCGCAATGGTAGGTTAATTAATGCGACACCATGCACGACCACCACCACCGGACATGCGGAAGAACAAGCTCGCTACACACACACACGACAACAGTGAGGGACTGTGACACCAGGGGGAGCTGCAAGGCGTGGCCAACCGAAAAAAAAACCAAAGCCTGCGGCGAAACATCCAGCAAAGCTTCGAAGTGAGAGAGAGCGCGCAAGCGGTGGAAACGAGACGAAACGCTCCGACGACGTAACGGCTGCTCTTTTGTTTTTTTCGTCTGCTGCGTCGGGCGCTGCCGCGTTGTGGGTACTCACCTACACGTGCGTGGCGGTCATTTCCGCCCGAACCGTTCACGGCGGAACGACGACGTAACCCACCGAAGAGGAACAACATCGTAACCCACGCCGGGATAAATACAACCATGACTCACCACAGCAGAATAGCAATGCAACTATGTTTCATTCCACCTTCTCAATGTGCGCGGAGTGTCTAATAGCCTAACTTGCTAACTACGGCACAAGAAATGGCATTAAGGGTTTAGTGAAAAATGCAAACGATCAGCCCCAGACGGAAAGTTCGCGCCCGAGAGGCTGATAGAACTACGATGGTGGAGAGATTTTCAGGAAATCAAATGCTAATGAATGCAAATGATGCACATGCACGCCACTCACGCACTCGCATGCACGCCACTCACGCACTCGCCCACACCACGTACACACACACACGCACGCATGCACGCACACACACACACGCACGCATGCACG